TAAGCGTCATTTTAGGGTTGAAAAGTCTTTTTATTAGAACTGAATCTCGAGTAATTCGTACTCCAGAGAAGGTTGAAGAACGAATGACTCTTATCAAGCGTGATACCTACTTTGATCATGCATCCAAAGCAGAAGATCATGCGGGTGTTGTAAGGTTGTCACTTTAACATGTTATTATATTATTTTCATGCATTAAATATTTTAGCTATGGATATTTTCACAGTTTTTCTCTTCTCTTAACAGCGGGGTGATGTCCATGATTTTCGGATACTGCGTGACGCCAGTTTACCTCTTAGAGAAGATTGGGTTGCGTCACTATTTCAGGTTTGAGGAATGTCTGGCTCCGATGTGGATATGAATGCACTTTTAGTTTACCTGTCTCATTTGTTACTATTAGGTGATAAATGCTTTCTTTAATGGAGAACAATGGAGAACCATACTCTATCCCCTTGGAATTTCTGGGGTCTTTTTTGTGTTTGACGTGTAATCTTCCCTACCTAATCCTAAACCAGTCATCTCATGATAATACTAATGTTGATGTTATATATGCATATGCTATTATTATGATAGCAATTGTTTTCAGCCCGCCATCATGCGTAGGGGAGAATATGAAAACTTTCCAACTGTAGGATTTTTAGATGAAACAGTTTATTAAAATATATTAAAAGAAAAATCCAATGGCGGCATGCCAACATTTAACATAATGTAAGGTGCGCATCTTCGTAGTGTGGTGCGTGAAGATATTGTATCCCTAGTTAGGTCGTCTTTAAATTGCTCTTTTCATTTTGATTCGGCCGTGTGTAGCTAGTAATGATTTAGCCTTGAAGGCTTTAGAGGGGAAGTACCACTTCCTCGGATGAAGGATTCATGCGTTTCTTGTGTGATTTGCCTTTGGTTTGTAGTCAGTACGGTTGTAAATTTCTTTTGAGTTTTATGCTATGATTGAATGTCGTTGGAGAAAAAAAAAAAAGAAAAAGTAAGGTGCACATGTATATATAAAGTAATATTTCAAATTTTGTTGAAAAAAATCAGTTGTAAAACTTGGGTTTGACTTGATTTTAACTGAATTCTTATGGATAAATACTTAATTCGGGTTGAATTAAATTGTGTAGAAAAATTCTACGTTTTGAGTAGATTCTCGTTGTATATTTATTTTCTTAAAACTGATTTTCGATGAATGAGAAAGAAATGATTAGAGTTAGTCATATCGCAAAACGATGGTTGTGAGATTTAAAGGTCAAAAATTTTATCCCACGTAGGACTTTTAAATGACAATAACTTTTGTTTTTATTATTATTAAAATAATGATAGTTGAAAAATTTACAACAACAACAAAGCTATGCACTAAGTGTTGGTGTTGGTTTCGGCCACACGGGTTTTGACCCAACCCGCTTGACATATTTCTAAGTACTAAACTTAAACTGAAAAACACAAATCTTATAATCTGATCTGACTAGCTTTGCTCACTTGGATTTCAAATTATTTAAAACTTACTTTTAATAATTTACGAGGTGATTTTGAAAATTTATTGTCTTTGATGCCTATTATAGTTCTTCGAAATAATTATAAGTTTGGACTTAAATCAGACTGGATATTGTCTGACCGGTTCGAAAAAAATGGATTCTCGGTTCACGCTCAAACCAATGTTTTGAACTAAAATCCCGAATCGTCCGGACTGCCCGGACTGATTCGGGTGAATTGAAATTCTTTGAACCATCCGGTCTATCCGGACATATTTGATTGAACTGGAGCGGCGGCTCATTCGAAATCAGGCGATCATTTGCTTGACTATGTGTAGCTCGGCTTAACCGTGGTCTGGGTTCGGCGTGGCAGCTCGGGGTCGGCACGAACACGACTGACATGGCTTAGTCGATGCACTTGTTTGAAATGGTGTCACGGTCACCGA